TACTGACTTGTTGACCAGACCACATACTAGAAAGTGAAGGGACGACGACGTTTCGCTCCGTCCTGGACCATTCTCAAGTCGATCGACTTGAGAATGGTCCAAGACGGACCGAAACGTCGTCGTCCCTTCACCTTCTAGTGTGGACCATTCTCAAGTCGATTGACTTGAGAATGGTCCAAGACGGACCGAAACGTCGTCGTCCCTTCACCTTCTAGTGTGTGGTCTGGTCAACTTACTTTAGCCCCGTTATTGTGACTCACCGCCTGCACCTAACACTGCAGTAAAGGTTACCAAAAGAGGTTAAGCCTGAGCATATGGACTCAAGGCTGAGGTTGGACGTGTTTGCTCTTAATGACGAGACACAAGTGCAGGGTGGAGGTTATCTTGAGGTTATCTTGAGATGATTTCGGGGCTTTAGTGTCCCCGCGGCCCGGTCATCGACCAGGCCTCCACCCCCAGGAAGCAGCCCGTGACAGCTGACTAACTCCCAGGTACCTATTTACTGCTAGGTAACAGGGGCATTGAGGGGTGAAAGAAACTTTGCCCATATGTTTCTGCCTCGTGCGGGAATCGAACCCGCGCCACAGAAATACGAGTCCTGCGCGCTATCCACCAGGCTACGAGGCCCCATAAGGCGAGGCGAGGTAACTAGTCCTGTAACGTGAAGGCTGCCGGGGTATCACTCTCTTCTCTCATCCCCCGTTCTTCATTCCTCTCTATCTCCATCTTTTATGATCTCTCCTGGCATCTACATTAAATGATTTTCTATTTTATTCCTCCCCATCCCCTCCACTATCTGCCTGATGGGGTTCTGGGAGTTGTTCTACTCCCCAAGCCCGGCCCGAGGCCAGGCTTGACTTGTGAGAGTTTGGTCCACCAGGCTGTTGCTTGGAGCGACCCGCAGGCCCACATACCCACCACAGCCCGGTTGGTCCGGCACTCCTTGGAGGAAACTATCTAGTTTCCTCTTGAAGATGTCCACGGTTGTTCCGGCAATATTTCTTATGCTCGCTGGGAGGACGTTGAACAACCGCGGACCTCTGATGTTTATACAGTGTTCTCTGATTGTGCCTATGGCACCTCTGCTCTTCACTGGTTCTATTCTGCATTTTCTTCCATATCGTTCACTCCAGTACGTTGTTATTTTACTATGTAGATTAGGGACCTGTCCCTCCAGTATTTTCCACGTGTATATTATTTGGTATCTCTCTCGTCTCCTTTCTAGAGAGTACATTTGGAGAGCTTTGAGACGATCCCAATAATTTAGGTGTTTTATCGCGTCTATGCGTGCCGTATATGTTCTCTGTATTCCCTCTATTTCAGCAATCTCTCCTGCTCTGAAGGGGGAAGTGAGTACTGAGCAGTACTCAAGACGGGACAACACAAGTTACTTGAAGAGTACAACCATTGTGATGGGATCCCTGGATTTGAAAGTTCTCGTAATCCATCCTATCATTTTTCTGGCTGACGCAATATTTGCTTGGTTATGCTCCCTAAACGTTAGATCGTCGGACATCATTATTCCCAAATCCTTTACATGTTACTGGGAATAATGATGTCTGAGGAACTAACGTTTAGGAAGCCTAACCAAGAAAATATCGCGTCAGCCAGAAAAATGATAGGATGGATTACGAGAACTTTCAAATCCAGGGATCCCATCACAATGGTTGTACTCTTCAAATACTGAGACTGCACTACAGTCTCCGTGGTGTAGTGGTAAGACACTCGCCTGGCTTTCCTCGAGCGCTATGTCATGGGTTCGTATCCTGGCCGGGGAGGATTTACTGGGCGCAATTCCTTAACCGTAGCCTCTGTTTAACTCAACAGTAAAATGTGTACTTGGCTGTAACAACGATTCTTCGCGGCGGGGATCGTATTCCAGGGACCTGCCCGAAACCCTACGCGTACTAGTGGCTCTACAAGAATGTAACAACTCTTCTATATATCTCAAAAACAAAAATATATACTCTTGTATATATCTCAAAAAAAAAAAATCACTTGTGCTGTGCCGTCTTAAGTACTGCTCAATACACATGCTACAGGACACACGTGTGAAGGTATGTACTAGATGTATACAATGTGTGACAGGTATGGAACAGGTTCATGCAGGTGTGGGAGAGGTGTATGCAGAGGTTTACAGGTGTTGAACAGGTGTGGAACAGTTGTATGCAGGTTTAAGGCAGGTATTCACAGGTGTGGAGCAGTTATATGTTAGTGTATGCATGTTTGGGGACGGGTATGTGCAGGAGTGGGATATTTTCTACCACAGACGTGGCCAGACATTTACAATGCTAACCAGCATATATACATTTTCTTCTGTCCTCCATGGACAGGGTTATAGAAGTGTTAAACATATAGTTCAAGAGTTTATTGAACAATCAACCACAGAAGGTTATTGTAGTGCTTTTAAAATGCTAATCTAACCTACATATATCCACAGATTTACGTCTGTCCTACATAGGCGGTGTTCGATATGTCTTTTTACAGCGTCATTAATTTTCATTTACAAAGATGAAATGCAAATCTGACCAGCTTACACATTTCCTGTATACACAAATATATATATATGTCATACTGAGTATGACAGCATATTCTGTATTAACTCTTTTCTGGCTTAGGGCTTCTATCCCTCTAACTAGAGCCCTTGCATCAGGGTTTAGGGTGAGGTTATCTTGAGGTTATCTTGAGATGATTTCAGGGCTTTTTAGTGTCCCCGCGGCCCGGTCCTCGACCAGGCCTCCACCCCCAGGAAGCAGCCCGTGACAGCTGACTAACTCTCGAGTACCTATTTACTGCTAGGTAACAGGGGCATTCAGGGTGAAAGAAACTTTGCCCATTTGTTTCTGCCTCGTGCGGGAATCGAACCCGCGCCACAGAATTACGAGTCCTGCGCGCTATCCACCAGGCTTTCGTGGCCCCAAAGAGGGCCACAACGTGAAGAGGAGCTCTCCAAAAGTCATGTTCTTTTTTCGAGGTGAAGAAAAAGAAGTGAATAATTATAGAATGAATTACACATATAATAAAATTGCACAACGTTTCGAACCTACATGGTTCATTCTCAAGTGATGTTACAGTACCGGCCATTATATTTATACTAATAGTGGGTCAGGTGAATACAATTGGATCGAACAATGGGTTCAGGTGTGAATAATGGGTATAAACTGGGTAAACATAAGGGTAAAGAGTCCAGCAGCTGGACACCCTCATAAAGACTGTGAAGCAGTATCCTCCCCCGCGATAACAGCTTGATGGTTAAATGCAACCTCAGAATACTGAGAAAAAAAAATTGTACCACTTACGGGCTATTCATGCCCGTGCCACCTCTTGGGTGGCTTAATCTTAATCAATCAATCGGGTAAAGAGTAAGGCATAAAGGAGAAAAGAGAAGAATAAGGATAAATAGGGCATAAAACACATACAAAGATTAATCAGGTGTAGAGGGCGCTGTTTGTGGAGCAGTGTCGTCTATGTTAGCATCTTCACGTTCTGGTCTTGTCTTACTCTCATGGTGGGTAGAGTGAATAGTTCCGTAATTTGAGTATTTATGGTTATCTTGAGATGATTTGATTTCGGGGCTTTTTAGTGTCCCCGCGGCCCGGTCCTCGACCAGGCCTCCACCCCCAGGAAGCAGCCCGTGACAGCTGACTAACATCAAAGTACCTATTTTACTGCTAGGTAACAGGGGCATAGGTTGAAAGAAACTCTGCCCATTGTTTCTCGCCGGCGCCTGGGATTGAACCCAGGATCACAGGATCACAAGTCCAGCGTGCTGTCCGCTCGGCCGACCGGCTCCCCTTGGAGCCTTGGAGCAACATGGTTGGTTGTTCTATTTTCATGTGGATTCAAGAATTTGTAATCTTCTTACATCTTGAGTTTTGTCTATTATACAAGTGTTTTTATTCAACATTTCTCTTGTTAGAGTAATGTCATGGGCTTGTCTCATGTGATTCCTGGGGGCACCTGATTGAAGATGACAGGTCAAACGCCTCGTCAGCTTGGTCGACGTCATACCTATGTACTTAGATTGAAGGTTACATCCTTCGTGGGGGCAAGTGTACATGTATACAACGCTTGACTGCTGTAGAGGGTTCTCCGTCGGCTTCGGCCTGTTTTTGATAAGGAGGTTGGCAGACCTCTTTGTTTTATAGAATATGATCAGGTCTATGTTTTGGTTAGGAGTAGTGCTTTTTACTCCTTTACGGATTATTTCTTTCATTATTCTTTCCTCTTTTATATGTTCACTGTGCATAGTTGATTTGTAATATAATTTTATTGGGGGTGTTGTGGTTTCTGTTCTAGGTTCTGAATTATACCAACGGACCAAGTGTCTTCTAATAGCAGCGTTTATTTCCGCGTTGCTATATCCGTTGTTCACCAATACCTGAGTTACTCTTTCAAACTCTCTACTCACGTTGCTCCATTCAGAGCAGTGGGTAAGCGCTCAACGAATATAAGCATTGAGAACACTGGCTTTGTATCTTTGGGGGCACTCACTTCTACCGTTCAGGCATAATCCTATGTTGGTGGGCTTGGTATATACGTTGGTGCTTAAAGAGGTTCCTGTTTTTGTTATTAGTACATCCAGGAATGGCAGACTGTTATTTTCACTATTTTCATGTGTAAATCGGAGTACTGACTCTCTCTCTAGGTGTCTTTTTAGGTCAATTAGTTCATCTGAGTCTTTTACTATTACGAATATGTCATCTACATAACGGCATTATACAGTTGGTTTTTGTCTGCTGCTGAAGACTCTGTCTTCGATGGTTCCCATATAAAAATTAGCGAATAAGACTCCTAAGGGGGAGCCCTTTGCTACTCCATCTATTTGTAGATACATGTCCCCTTGCGGACTGATGAAAAGGGCTTCCTTTGTACAAGCTTCGAGAAGGCTGTGAAGGATCTTGTGAGAGCTTGTGAAAGATGCTCTCACAAGTTCAAGTTAGTTACATCACATACATTGTATACAATTGTGAGTTAAAGTGTTGAACCTGTCTATGCAGGTATGGTACAAGTATATGCAGGTGTGTGACATATGTATACAGGTATTTAATTGAGGTATACATGTATATAACAGGTGTATACAGGTGTAGGAAAGATATAAGACAGCTGAGTGATGGGATGTAACAAGTGAATACAAATTTGGAGCAGTATTAAGTAGGCATAGTACAGGTGAGTGCAGGTATATAGGGAGGCGGAAGGAGGTGTAGAACAGGTGTGGAGGATGGAGCTGTAGAGGGAGGAGGAGTAGGACAGGTGTGTGGAGGGACGTACAAAACGCAGGCAAATCATAACATAGAACGTAAAGGTAATGTAAAGGACCTGGGTGTACTCATGTCGGAAGACCTTACCTTTAAAGAACACAATAAAGTAGCCGTCACAACTGCAAGAAAAATGACAGGTTGGATAACAAGAACTTTTCACACAAGAGATGCTATACCGATGATGATACTTTTTAAAACGCTTGTGCTCTCTAGAGTGGAGTACTGCTGCACAATGACAGCCCCTTTCAAAGCTGGAGAAATTGCTGACCTAGAGAGCGTGCAGAGATCCTTTACTGCTAGAATCCACTCAGTAAAACATCTAAATTACTGGGACCGACTAAAGAGCCTAAATCTGTACTCCCTTGAGCGCAGGCGGGAGAGATACATAATAATTTACACGTGGAAAATATTAGAGGGGCTGGTCCCAAACCTGCACACAGAAATAACACCACATGAGACCAGAAGACATGGCAGGATGTGCAGAATACCCCCGTTGAAAAGCAGAGGTGCAACAGGTACTCTGAGAGAGAACTCTATCAACATCAGAGGCCCGAGACTGTTCAACACGCTTCCACTACACATAAGGGGCATAACTGGCAAACCCCTCACAGTGTTCAAGAGAGAACTGGATAAGCACCTCCAAAGGATACCTGATCAACCAGGCTGTGACTCATACGTCAGGCTGCGAGCAGCCGCGTCTAACAGCCTGGTTGATCAGTCCAGCAACCAGGAGGCCTGGTCGACGACCGGGCCGCGGGGACACTAAGCCCCGGAAGCACCTCAAGGTAGCCTCAAGGTAGGGAGGAGGTGTAGGACAGCTATGGAGGGAGGAGGTGTAGGACAGCTATGGAGGGAGGAGGTGTAGGATAGGTGTGGAGGGAGGAGGTGTAGGACAGGTGTGGAGGGAGGAGGTGTAGGACAGGTGTGGAGGGAGGAGGTGAAGGATAGGTGTGGAAGGAGGAAGTGGAGGACAGGTGTAGAGGGAGGTGTATGACAGGTGAGGAGGGAGGAGGTGTAGGTCAAGTGGAGGAGTAGACCTGTATATTAAAGAGGAGCTGGTATGCACAGAGCTCCTGAACTCGACCAATGAGGTGGTAGAGGCACTTGGAATCAAGGTAGAAAATATTAATCTAATTATTATTCTAATATACAAACCGCCAGAAGCAACAGCTGAGGAATTCACTGAACAGATCCACAGAATAGAGAATATCCTTGATAACCTAGCAAACCCAGTACCAGATATTATCTTCCTTGGAGACTTTAATCTACCCAGTTTACAATGGAGAATAGTAAACAATAACATTATAGCAGGAAATTAACCTGGAAATAACGTACCACAGGTCAGAGAACTACTGAGATTCTGTGACAAATTCTCGCTCAGTCAGCAGATTACAGAACCAACTAGGAACGAAAACACGTTGGACCTGATATTCACGAACAATGATGAGCTAATCAGAGACATTACTGTCTCAGACACTACGTACTCGGACCACAAGCTCACTGAAGTGCAAACTAACATTAATAACGGTAGTAGACTCAAGAGAAACAACAAGCGAGAAGGGTTATTCAATAAATTCAATTTTAATAATAAGAGGATGGACTGGGAGAAAATAAACAGGGAACTTACAAACATTCAATGGGAAAATGTTCTAAGTAATAAAAATCCTTCACAAGGAATAGAAAAACTGACTTCTGAAGCATATGAAGTCTGTCTGAAACATGTTCCTTTGAGGAAAGCCAGAAACAGGTCCAATGTAGACAGAGAACGCAGACGACATTACAAAAGAACAAAAAAATAACGGAAATGCTTAAACAGACGCGACTTTCCATACAAAGAAGGAATAATTTAAGGAGGGAGATTGAAGAAATCGAACTGAGACTGAAGCATTCATTTAGATTGAAGAAAGACAACTAAAACAGAAAGCAATTCAAGAAATAAAGAAAAACACAAAATATTTTATCACATATGCGAAATCAAAAGCAAAAACCACTGCCAGTATTGGACCTATTCGTACTAGTAAAAGTTCATACACTGAGGATGACAAAGAAATTAGTGAAATCCTAAAAAAGCAGTATGAGGACATGTTTAGCACTCCAGTAAACAACATGAAAGTGGAAGATCCGGACAACTTCTTTATGCGTGATATCCAAACACCTGTAAATATAACTGATATCAACACGAGTGTGGCAGATTTTGAAAGAGAAATTGATAATATGCCCATGCACTCGGCCCCGGATCCAGACTCGTAAAATTCAATATTTATAAAGAAATACAAAGTGCCAGTAGCACAGGCACTCAGTATAGTGTGGAGGAAGAGCTTGGACACGGGGGAGATACCAGATGCGCTTAAAGCCGTAGACATAGCCCCTCTACACAAGGGTGGTAGCAAAGCATTGGCAAAAAATTATAGACCAGTTGCACTAACATCCCACATAATAAAATTATTTGAGAGAGTGATCAGGAGCCAGGTCACAAGTTTCATGGAGACCAATGACCTCCACAACCCAGGCCAACATGGATTTCGAGCAGGAAGATCATGCCTCTCACAGCTACTTGACCACTACGACAAAATCACTGAGGCATTAGAAGAAAAACAGATTGTAAATGTGGTATACACGGACTTCACAAAGGCATTCGATAAATGTGACCATGGAGTGATAGCACACAAAATGAAGTCAATGGAAATAACTGGTAAATCAGGACGCTGGATACTCAGTTTTCTGTCGAACAGAACACAAAGAGTAACAGTCAATCATATAAAATAAAATCCAAGCTCTGTACCTCAAGGTACAGTCCTTGCACCACTGCTATTCCTTATTCTCGTATTAGATGTATACTCAAATACAAGGCACAGCTTCGTATCATCCTTTGCATATGACACAAAAATTAGCATGAAAATTACCTCTGCTGAAGACATTGAAAAACTACAAGCAGATATTAATAAAGTTTTCGACTGGGCAACAGAAAATAACATGATGTTTAACAGTGATAAATTTCAGGTACTCAGGTACGGTAAAAATGAGGACCTTAAACATAATACAGAGTACCAAACACTATCAAATGTACCCATAGTAGGAAAACAGCATGTAAAGGATTTGGGAATAATAATGTCTGACGACCTAACGTTTAGGGAGCATAACCAAGCAAATATTGCGACAGCCAGAAAAATGATAGGATGGATTACGAGAACTTTCAAATCCAGGGATACCATCACAATGGTTGTACTCTTTAAATCACTTGTATTGTCCCGTCTTGAGTACTGCTCAGTACTCACTTCCCCCTTCAAAGCAGGAGAGATTGCTGAAATAGAGGGAATACAGAGAACATATACGGCACGCATAGAAGCGATAAACCACCTAAATTATTGGGATCGTCTCAAAGCTCTCCAAATGTACTCACTAGAAAGGAGACGAGAGAGATATCAAATAATATACACCTGGAAAATACTGGAGGGCCAAGTACCAAATTTACACAGTAAAATAACAACATACTGGAGTGAACGATATGGAAGAAAATGCAGAATAGAACCAGTGAAGAGCAGAGGTGCCATAGGCACAATCAGAGAACACTGTATAAACATCAGAGGTCCGCGGTTGTTCAACGTCCTCCCAGCGAGTATAAGAAATATTGCCGGAACAACCGTGGACATCTTCAAGAGAAAACTAGATAGTTTTCTTCAAAGAGTGCCGGACCAACCAGGCTGTGGTGGGTATGTGGGCCTGCGGGCCGCTCCAAGCAACAGCCTGGTGGACCAAACTCTCACAAGTCAAGCCTGGCCTCGGGCCGGGCTTGGGGAGTAGAAGAACTCCCAGAACCCCATCAACCAGGTATCAAGCATGACAGGTGTGGATGGAGGAGGTGAAGCACAGGTGTGGATGGAGGAGGTGAAGGACAGGTGTGGAGGGAGGAGGTATAGGACAGTTGTGGAGGGAGCAGGTGGAGGAGGACAGTTGTGGAGGGAGGAGGTATAGGACAGTTGTGGAGGGAGGCACTAGGAGTTGTAGACAGGTGTGGAGGGAGGCGGGAGGAGGTGTAGGACAGGTGTGGGACAGGTGTGGAAGGAGGAGGAGTCACCGAGATGCCACCAGCACCTCCCCCCCATGGCAGGGGGGCGAGTCCCACCCACGCCAGCGCGCGCATTCCGACCTTACTGCGGGCGTGCAGAAGGGCGGGCGGGCGCGCCACGCCGCCTGGCTCGCTCCCCTCAACAAAGGCCGCTACAAGTTTAGCAATAAATAATAACTCAAGGGCTAGCAGAAGGGAGTAGTGGGCCCCTCACGCCCATGCTCCGGGCGGGGTGTGGGCGGCCGCTCATGCTCCGGGCGGGGTGTGGGCGGCCGCTCATGCTCCGGGCGGGGTGTGGGCGGCCGCTCATGTTCCGGGCGGGGTGTGGGCGGCCGCTCATGCTCCGGGCGGGGTGTGGGCGGCCGCTCATGTTCCGGGCGGGGTGTGGGCGGCCGCTCATGTTCCGGGCGGGGTGTGGGCGGCCGCTCATGCTCCGGGCGGGGTGTGGGCGGCCGCTCATGCTCCGGGCGGGATGTGGGCGGCCACTCACGCTCCGGGCGGGGTGTGGGCGGCCGCTCATGCTCCGGGCGGGGTGTGGGCGGCCGCTCATGCTCCGGGCTGGGTGTGGGCGGCCACTCACGCTCCGGGCGGGGTGTGGGCGGCCAGCTACACTCTGGGGGAGGGATACCTACATGGGCAGAGCTGAGATCCCGGCCAAGACATCCCCTAGAGTGCATAAAGACACGATTTCCCCCAGTCCATCTTACGGGCTATTCATGCCCGTGCCACCTTGAGGGTAGCTTACTCCTTATTAATCAATCACAGTCCATCGCTGGCCGCCCTCCAGAGACCCCGAAATGCTGCAAAACGATGTACTTCTCATATATTAGATCACTTAACCATCATGCTGCACCCATGCTCGCGCTCTGGAGCCTCGGAGAATGCTCCCACAACTGGTAAAGACGCCCAAGGAAGCTATAGAGGAAGATCCTCAGATGTTCCCGTTGAATTAAATTACTATACATGAGGACGGAACTCCGTACCCCCATGAGTAAGTGATCCTATCACTGTAAACAATGCTTTAATTGGCACGAAGACGCTAACCTTGCGCTGTCACCCTCCAAGCCATCGTTACCGGGGGTCAGCAGGCCTCAAAATAGACTATTAAACACAGCAGATGGATTTATAACGTAAGAAGTTAATTATCTCTATTACGAGTGACAACAACGGCACTTCTCTACACCGTGGATGATCGCCTCTCTCGCACGTGTGGAGGGAGCAGGTGTAGGACAGGTGTGGAAGGAGGAGGTGTAGGACAGTTGTGGAGGGAGGAGGTGTAGGACAGTTGTGGAGGGAGGAGGTGTAGGACAGTTGTGGAGGGAGGAGGTGTAGGACAGTTGTGGAGGGAGCAGGTGTAGGACAGTTGTGGAGGGAGGAGGTGTAGGACAGTTGTGGAGGGAGGTGGTGTAGGACAGTTGTGGAGGGAGGTGGTGTAGGACAGTTGTGGAGGGAGGAGGTATAGGACAGGTGTGGAGGGAGGTGGTGTAGGACAGTTGTGGAGGGAGGTGGTGTAGGACAGTTGTGGAGGGAGGAGGTGTAGGACAGTTGTGGAGGGAGGTGGTGTAGGACAGTTGTGGAGGGAGGTGGTGTAGGACAGTTGTGGAGGGAGGAGGTATAGGACAGGTGTGGAGGGAGCAGGTGTAGGACAGGTGTGGAGGAAGGAGGTGGCACCTCCTTCTATCCCTTCCAACCCAAGAAAATTATTAAAGAAAAAGTCCCTCCACGCTCAAGGCAAATTGATTATTTGATCAGAGATTTCTCCCTCTCCCAAACTGTTTACACTGATGTAAGCACCACACTGGTCCCCCCCCCCCTGCTGTTTACACTGATGTAAATACCAGGGGGACTTCCGCCAGTCTCCCTGGTGCTGCTGGAAGCACAAGGGGGGACTGTACCAGTCCAACCCCTGGTGCTGCTGGAAGCACAAGGGGGGGACTGTACCAGTCCCCCCCCTGGTGCTGCTGGAAGCACAAGGGGGGACTGTACCAGTCCAACCCCTGGTGCTGCTGGAAGCACAAGGGGGGAGTGTACCAGTCCCCCCCCTGGTGCTGCTGGAAGCACAAGGGGGGAGTGTACCAGTCCAACCCCTGGTGCTGCTGGAAGCACAAGGGGGGACTGTACCAGTCCCCCCCCCTGGTGCTGCTGGAAGCACAAGGGGGGACTGTACCAGTCTACCCCCTGGTGCTGCTGGAAGCACAAGGGGGGACTGTACCAGTCCCCCCCCCCCTGGTGCTGCTGGAAGCACAAGGGGGGACTGTACCAGTCTACCCCCTGGTGCTGCTGGAAGCACAAGGGGGGACTGTACCAGTCCCCCCCCTGGTGCTGCTGGAAGCACAAGGGGGGACTGTACCAGTCCCCCCTGGTGCTGCTGGAAGCACAATTTTCGTGACAAGAACAGACAGCTGCTACTGTGAGTGGTGAGTGGTATAGCTAGGGCCTCCACTCCTCACTGCCTCCCTTAGTTCTCGCACTCGGACGAGTGCATGAGCCCAAGATTACATTGTAACTGTGAGTGACACTGTCATCCTTGAGGGCACTCAACTCCTCCCGAGGTAACTGTGAGGTACTTGTGAGTGACCCTGGCCACAGATATAATAAAGTAATCAATGGTGGAGTCGGAGTTTGTCTCCTGTGGTTTCCATCCCGTGCTCGTCTGTGGGAGTTGTAAACTTGTCAGCCAAACTTCCATAGTTTGCACCACCTGCTGAAGTAGACCTGACCAAATGTAAACTCTGGCAGCAGAAGTATTCACATACCTAACGTCAATATGTAATTAAATGTCAATAAAAAGTATCAGAGAAGCTCTATTACTAATGGTTAATGTGTATTACCTTCAAAATGTACTATGAGTAATTATAGAAAATATTCAGGCGATGAGTCACAATAAAGTGGCTGAAGTGCGTTGACCAATCCACACACTAGAAAATGAAGGGACGACGACGTTTCAGTCCGTCCTGTACAAGTCGATTGTAAATGATCCGACTTGAGAATGGCCCAAGACGGACCGAAACATCGTCGTCCCTTCATTTTCTAGTGTGTGGATTGGTCAACATAGTAAAATATTCAAACTTTGCTCACATTAGGTAAGCATTCCCCACCTGTTCCCCCATTTTCTTGGTGTGGGGGAGCAGGTTTAGTAACTGAGATGTACTAAAGGGAAAGGGGGAGCCGGTCGGCCGAGCGGACAGCACGCTGGACTTGTGATCCTGTGGTCCTGCGTTCGATCCCAGGCGCCGGCGAGAAACAATGGGCGGAGTTTCTTTCACCCTATGCCCCTGTTACCTAGCAGTAAAATAGGTACCCGGGAGTTAGTCAGCTGTCACGGGCTGCTTCCTGGGGGTGGAGGCCTGGTCGAGGACCGGGCCGCGGGGACACTAAAAAGCCCCGAAATCATCTTAAGATAACCTCAAGAAGGTACTACCGCCCCCGGATGAAGTACAACGATATGTTCCAAGTACTTAGGTGTGGTGGAAACGAGGAACTTAAACGAAATACAGAGTACAAGACACACTCATAGAGGGAAAGCAACATGTAAAAGATGTGGGAATTATGATGTCTGACGACCTGACATTTAGTGAACATAACCGAGCAAATATAGCGGCGGCGGCCAGGACAATGATTGGCTGGATTATGAGAACGTTCACATCCAGAGACCCCACAGTAATGCCAGAGACCCCACAGTAATGCCAGAGACCCCACAGCAATGCCAGAGACCCCACAGTAATGCCAGAGACCCTACAGTAATGCTATAGATCCCACAGTAATGCCAGGGATCCCACAGTAATGCCAGGGACCCCACAGTAATGCCAGAGACCCTACAGTAATGCTATAGACCCCACAGTAATGCCAGAGACCCCACAGCAATGCCAGAGACCCCACAGCAATGCCAGAGACCCCACAGTAATGCCAGAGACCCTACAGTAATGCTATAGATCCCACAGTAATGCCAGGGATCCCACAGTAATGCCAGGGACCCCACAGTAATGCCAGAGACCCTACAGTAATGCTATAGACCCCACAGTAATGCCAGAGACCCCACAGCAATGCCAGAGACCCCACAGCAATGCCAGAGACCCCACAGTAATGCCAGAGACCCTACAGTAATGCTATAGATCCCACAGTAATGCCAGGGATCCCACAGTAATGCCAGGGACCCCACAGTAATGCCAGAGACCCTACAGTAATGCTATAGACCCCACAGTAATGCCAGAGACCCCACAGCAATGCCAGAGACCCCACAGCAATGCCAGAGACCCCACAGTAATGCCAGAGACCCTACAGTAATGCTATAGATCCCACAGTAATGCCAGGGATCCCACAGTAATGCCAGAGACCCCACAGCAATGCCAGAGACCCCACAGCAATGCCAGAGACCCCACAGTAATGCCAGAGACCCTACAGTAATGTTATAGATCCCACAGTAATGCCAGGGATCCCACAGTAATGCCAGGGACCCCACAGTAATGCCAGAGACCCCACAGTAATGCCAGAGACCCCACAGTAATGCTATAGATCCCACAGTAATGCCAGGGACCCCACAGTAATGCCAAGGACCCCACAGTAATGCCAGAGACCCCACAGTAATGCCAGGGACCCCACAGTAATGCCAGAGACCCCACAGCAATGCCAGAGACCCCACAGTAATGCTATAGATCCCACAGTAATGCCAGGGACCCCACAGTAATGCCAGGGACCCCACAGTAATGCCAGAGACCCCACAGTAATGCCAGGGACCCCACAGTAATGCCAGGGACCCTACAGTAATGCCAGAGACCCCACAGTAATGCCAGGGACCCCACAGTAATGCCAGGGACCCCACAGTAATGCCAGAGACCCCACAGTAATGCCAGAGACCCCACATCAATGCCAGAGACCCCACAGCAATGCCAGAGACCCCACAGCAATGCCAGAGACCCTACAGCAATTCCAGAGATCCCACAGTAATGCCAGAGACTCCACAGTAATGCCAGAGACCCCACAGTAATGCCAGAGACCCCACAGTAATGCCAGAGACCCCACAGTAATGCCAGAGACCCCACAGTAATGCCAGAGACCCCACAGTAATGCCAGAGACTCCACAGCAATGCTAATACTATTTAAATCACTGGTGCTGACCCGTCTTGAGTACTGCTCGGTACTCACTTCCCCCTTTCAGAGCGGGAGAGATTTCTTAATTAGAAGGAATACAGAGAACATATACGGCACGCATAGACACGATAAAACATCTAAATTATTGGGACCGTTTCGAAGCTCTCAAAATGTACTCTATGATCGAGAGAGACGAGAGAGGTATCAAATAATATATTAATAGAAGATACTTGAAGGCCAGGTCCCCTACTTTACCTTCCAGGAGCTGTCATTTATCTCCGAAAAGTGAGGAAGCCAGAAGTTACATTGTGTCTACCTTGTGGAAGCTCCGGAGTTCCCAGAGTACATCACCGGCCTAGTGATGTACTCTGAGTGGCCCCAGATATGTACTCTGAGTGTCCCCAGAGACGTCCTTTGAGTGGCCCCAGAGATGTACTTTGAGTGGCCCCAGAGATGTACTCTGAGTGTCCCCAGAGATGTACTTTGAGTGGCCCCAGAGATGTACTCTGAGTGTCCCCAGAGATGTACTCTGAGTGGCCCCAGAGATGTACTCTGAGTGTCCCCAGAGATGTACTTTGAGTGACCCCAG